CGCTGGGGTTGCATTTGGGACTGAACTGGTAAGTGAGAGAGCATGGACATTCCTTATTATTAGTTATCAATAAGCTGATGTTTAAAGAGGGACTCTAATTAATGGGCTTGCTGTCAAGTTTATCAATAATTCGAGGGAGAATCTCACATTGGATTAACGCCCCCAGGTTGGGGAAGACAAACAACGCTTGGGTCTCGAGTGTTTGTATAGACGCATATTTGTGAACAAGCTCAAACAAAGACGAACTTAAAACGAAACATGCTTTGCTTGTGTGTGTTCCAGGGCTAGGCCTGGTGTTCGCTGAGTTGCTAGGGTCACATGCACCCAGGGCCACGTTGGAGGCGGCCGATCCATGATGAGAGAGCTCATCGATGTTTCTCTCCCTCTCCCCTCCTCTCTCTGAAATCAATTTTTTTTTTTAATTGTACTTCTAGCCTCCGGTTGACGTGTGCCTTATTTAAGCTTTCTCCCTTCTATGAAATGTTTGCTTTTCTTGTAGCTTGTGATTGTAGTGTCTCGTGTTTGGCTAAAGTCCTGATTGACAAGGAATAGAATAGCGTGGTTTTACTTAGCGGTCAGTGCTATCAGCTATTTCAGGAAAATAAGATGATCAGAGTAGATTGATGACTCGGACGTGATCTTCGAATAACCTCTCGCCCGATGTCGTTTCCTGACGTCGGTGAGATACCTCGGGGACTGAACTCTTATCTATCATGTATGAGCCGGGATAGCGTGGGGTTTGCTATACATCATTTTGCTGAAAGTTGCAGGACCTGTCGGGGCTGTTAAGTAAGGACTTACTATACCTGTAAGTTTATTTATTTTTGTTAAATACTTTTATTGATTTCAGAGAGGAAGGGAGAAGAAGAGAGAGAGAGAAACATCAGTGATGAGAGAGAATCATCAATTGGCTTCCTCTGCACGCCACCCTACTGGGGATCAAGCCCACAACCCAGGCTCCACTGGGCACTGAGCCCGCAACCCAGGCATGTGCCCCGGACCGGAATCGAACCCGGGACCCTTCAGTCCGCAGGCCAATGCTCTATCCACTGAGCCACACCGGCCAGGGCTATCCCTTTAAGTTTACACACACACATATTTGCTTCCCTATTTTACCTTACATGTGAATATGTATCTAAGAACAACATTTTTTTAAATGTCAGCAAGAGTAAGCTTCTCTTAGTCTCTTCAGTATTTTGTAATGAATATATATTGCTTCGTAATAAAGAAAAGGTTTAGCCCTAGCTGGTGTGGCTCAGTGGACAGAGCATCAGCCTGCAGACTGAAGGGTCCCGGGTTCAATTCCCAGTCAGGGCACATGCCCGGCTTGCCAGCTTGATCCCCAGTTGCGGGTGTGCAAGAGGCAACCAGTCAATGATTCTCTCTCATCATGCATGCTTCTATCTCTCCCTCTCCCTTCTTCTCTGAAATCAATAAAAAAAAAATTTTTTTAAAGGTTTAAAAAAGTCAGAAGTGACGTAAAAAGTTTTACGAGATGGCCTTTTCGGAATCACATGGCTTACAGGTCAGGCTCATAAAAGGCCGTGTGTCAGGCTCCCCAGGGTTCCTGAAATCCCCCTGATTTCATCATATTTTTTTATGTTGTTAATCCTCACCCCAGGATATTTTTCCCATTGATTTTTTTTTTTTTTTTTTTAGAGAGAGAATGGAAGGGAGGAAGGGGGAGAGAGAAACATGGATGTGAGAGAGACATTATTGATGGGTTGCCTCCTGTACCTGCCCCGACGGGGGGCGGGGGAGGGGGGGCCTTGAACCTGTAACGTGCCCTTGACCAGGAATCAAATCGAACCCTGACCTCCTGGTTCGTAGGTCGACGCTCAACCACTGAGCCACGCCAGGCGGCTCTTTTCCGCTCTCCGACTGAAGCCGCTCTAACGAGGAATGGCTTTCTTGCCTCCGGAGGGCACGGGGTTGGGCAGGGGGTGGGTGTGTGGAGTTGCTGAGTTCCTTTGAGTCATTTCCACTTTAAAAGACGCCCAGGCTGGCATTTGGACCGGCTCAGCGCTGGTTCCGGGCCAAGGCAGGGCGGCTGCCGGCTGCCTGCAGGCTGGGAGCGAAGGAAGGGAAGGAAGTGGGTGGAGAGGGAGGCCTGCAATCCCCGCTGCCCCCTCCCTGGA